TGAACTTGAAGAGTATTCAGATAATAATTCATCTAATAAATCAGCACCTAAATCTTCAAATATCAACACATTTTCTTCTTCTTTAACATTTTTCATTTTTCTTGATCTCTTCTTGTGTTTTTCTTTTAGGGCTTCAGCTGGTGACATCAATCCATCTTGCAACAAGTAACTACATTCCATTTTTGTTAGCGAATCGCGCACTTTTTCCACTGGAAAATTCAAGCAAATTGAAGGACCTCTTGTGCAAAACGCGGCTTGGTCATAAGCCAAAGCAGCTTCTTCAGCGGTATCAAACGTACCTAGCCAAACCCTAATTCCATTCCTTGTTGAATCCCTAATTTCAGCTGCATATTTTCCCCAAGGACGTTTTCGAACACCTATAAACTTGTGGGGCTTTTTTGCAATATTATGGAAGTTATAATCAACTTCTAATACTTCATTTGATTGAGCTTCAACTTTAACTTCATGAGAAATAATTGAAGTTATTTTCTCATCTTCAATCTTCAAATCCATTTTGTGTTTGGAGATTATTTGTTTTCTTCTTTGATCTCTCTTCTTGTTGATGATCTAAAAATGAGTGGACCAAACTTAATTATGACATCTTTAGTGATTATATTTAAGTTGTATTCACTCACTGACTGACGATAGAAAGAACTTTTTATAACATCAATAAAATTTCAGAGGCGGCGTTTAAATTAATAAACAATAATACCTAAGTTAATGAATATCATGATCATATATTTATAGAATATGTTGCTTGAACTCTTCAAAAATGTCATCGACGTGTCAGATCCTTAAGAAATACTTAATGTATTTTTGGAGATCCAACACATATGCATAAACATTTTTGGTTAGTCCGAACAACTTAGGCTTGTAGAAAGTTGAAGAATTTTTAATATATATATATCATACAGAAAGTTATATATGTGCAAATTCGTATTTTATAGTTGATTCAAAGGTCTTGTGTTTGAACTCTAAATACATTAAAAATTCTTGTTGAAAGTGTCACCTTTAAAAATAAACTTGTTATGTGTAAATTCAGACTAGTCAAAATATACTAGGAGTATCGAACACGCGGTTGAGAAATAATTTCCTTCCCATTATTAGGATATTTAATTTAATTAGTGAACAAGTGGAGATAATTATTTGACAAGTTGGATTAATGCTGTGGCATCTGTACTAGATTTAGAAGTTATATATATATATTGTGGTTTGTCTATAAGTAAGATTAGGACAAGGATTAATTAGCAATTGATCATGATTTACTTGCTATAACTGTTTGATTCGAGCTGGATAAGGATAATTAAGAGGTTGTTTAATAAATTATTTTGGTTTTATTATAATGTTTTATTCTTTTATTTATTTATTTTATTTTATTAACATAAATCATCTGGCTGTCTACCACCCAACTCTCCACCACTAAAAATATGTGTATTAAAATTAAAACCCAATAGAAATAAAATTTAAATAGAAATGTCCCCAATTTTTTTTTTGTTTCTTTTAATTGAAAAATAAAAAAAATTAAATAGAAATCTCCCCAATTTTTTTTGTTTCTTTAAATTGAAAAATAAAAACTATTGAACTACATTATAATTAATAAATTGGAATCGATAGAAATCTATTTCAACTTTAACATTATTCGAGCCCTAGCTAATTTATGAAAATAGTAAAATTTAAGAAATGTTTCATTAAAATAAAATCTCAAAACTCAACCTCGAAATAACATTGATTAGAGGTCACATGTCATAACATTTATTTTATTATCTTATTACTATGTTTTTCGTTTTCACCTTGATTTGTATATAACTATTATATTAATGATGCTTTAAATCAAATTATCACAAGAAATGTCACATCTTATATAGCTAATTAATTTTTATATAAAATATGTCTTCTTGAGGAAAAAAAACTCACCTCTTAATTATAACCACATCCTTAATTAATTAAAGTTCTCCCTTTTCTTTTCTAAAAAGTATCCAAAGTTTTTTTTTATGAATATTTCACGTTTCTAGGAACAAAAAATGGTCCATGTAAGTCTTTTTAGAAGATAAATAAATAAATTAAAGTAGGTGATAGCACAACGTTTTCTAAAAGTCTTTATCTTTTATTTTTATTTCGCTAGCTGGACGGTCAGCTCTGTCAGCTACTTGATTAACTTCTTTATAAAATAATTGAGATTCATACAATAAGCCATGAATACGTTCAACTAAACAAGAGAAATAGACAAAATTTCTTTTTTTATTATTAATATAAAAATGAACATATTACAGGTATTTCTTATGATATTTATTAAAGTTATTGAATTTTAAAACGTACAAATAGTTGGTATCTTTTAACTTTTCTAATCAATTTATATTGTTTTTTGGGGATAAAGAATTAACTTGTGTTAGTCGACGTTTGGACATCAAAAAAAATGTAATATCTTAAACAAATTTAAAAATTATATTTGAAAATTGAAATTGTAATTAAAAATGTATTTAACATTTAAAAAAAAAAGATAAGAACTTTGTGAGGAAACAAGTCAAAAACATTTTTCATAAATACTTGAACCTCATTTTTAATTTATTTATTTCTCCTAGAAAATCAATTAACTAAACATTATCCTAATTTATTTATTTTTAGAAAAAAACAACGTTCATTGAAACTGTTACCAGAGCATGATGAGATCATCATAAGGTCCAAGATGATGCAGTCAATGATGTCACAATTAACAAAATAAAATAATAGGAATCTTATACACAATGAATTACGTGGATAAATAAAAATCGAAGCTCACATAATTCAATAATTTTGATAAAAATTTCGTATTATAAATATTAAAAATTCACTTTATATATATCTCAATAATTAATTTTAATAATTTGAAATTTATAAATTTGAAATTTTAACTCAATTAAGTTGATAAATAAAAAAAAAATCATTTTTTTTTCAAATTTAATTTTGTAATATTTAATTAATTTGTTACTTTCATAATTAAATATTAGCCTCACATATCAGATTTTGTCTTTTTCCGTCGGCTGATAGATACCCCACAAGGTACTTTTTTTCCCTCTAATTTAAATAAACGTCCATTAAATACGACAACTAATATTATGTTTTTCATTTTATTTTTTTATAGCTGGTTAAAATTAGGGTAGATGGTTGCCATACACAGAAAAATATTTTTCAATTTTTTTATTTATTATAATGTTTGGTATGTTATGTAAATCGAAAATGTATTATTTTAAAAATATTTATATATAATTTAGAAAAATATTATGAGAGGTAACGAGGATGGGCAACAAAAAATCAATATGAAACATTGTTTATTGCGGGGTTTTTTTTTCTATTTTCATTAGATAAAATATTTTTTCACATTTTTTAAAGAATTAGAAAATTATTTTTTAATTTTTTCGATCAATTGAACAAATCAGTTATCTTTTTAATTTATTTCAAAAGAATGAGTCTTTTTC